GGAATTTTTCTCTTTACTCCTCCTCTCGCAATACCTTCTTCCACCCGGGAGAAGGCATGCCATTGAGATAGCAGCCCCAGGTCGCATGGAACCTAGAGCGTGCCTGGCAGCAGGCGGTTCTGGGAAGAAACCATTTGACACATCCCACTAGTTATTTCCGCAGGTCGTTCTCTCAAGCATTTGCTTGGGCTGTGCTGCATTTGGACAATGGGTATCATGGAAAACGTACACATGTAAAAATTTAGAGCAATCGCAGGGTAGGATGCGTGGACTGGTGCTGGTGCTGGCGCTGGTGAGAGCACGACGGGGGTTGGAAAGATACAACGATCGCATGAAATCGGCGAGTACAAATGAATTGAGTGGCTTTGAAGCGGAGGAAAGATGCGCAGGAAAGGCAACGGAACCTCAAAACAGATATTCATGGCTATTTATATTTTGTTGCGGGGAGCCCAAGGTCCCCAATCAATATGTGCTGCTTCCGTGCTAACTTAACCACCAGCACAACCAGTCAACCCTTCCATACCCAACGTCCAACGTCCAACGTCCCATGTCCCTCCTGCATACCTCAACTCCTCGCTACACACGATAGCTTCTATCCGTCTGCGGTTGATAGATAGAAGTATTCGGTTCCTCATCTCGCATCTCGACACTACGGTGTTGTGTCCTGTCTATTTCGCAATTTTTCCCCATCTCACCGCCCAGTTGGCCCATATCAACTATCCCTCCTCTCAGATAACAAGTCATTGTCTTTGCAACCCCAGCGAGGGCCTCAGAAATTAATGGGAATCTTGGACATTTGTGATCCAAACCCTCGCTCATGGATTAATTTTTTTTTTTTCTTTTTCAATTTCTCTAATGCCTAATTGACTCTCGTCATCCCGACAAAGGAATGAACCTGGCTCTATGATGGGATCCTGACTGCCCATTAGTGAGATTCCCCCCCTCCCCCTCCTCCTCTTTTTTACGAACACAAACGATTGTTGTTCGTACACGTTCGTATACAATAATTGGAGAAAGGGAAAATCCGATTCGGTGGCAGGAGGAAATATATCTGCCCTACTACGGTGAGAGTCACACACTGCAGCAAGGTATCTCACATCGGCAATAGGAAAAAACCGAGCTTGGACGTATTACAGCATTCCCATAACCGTAAGCGATGGGTGATCTAACTGTCAACGTTGAGCAAAGATCTGTGTCTAGA